TTTTTTAATACTTTGCCTGCTAGTGACCTAAATACGTCCTTATGCACTGTGTTTGTATTTCTAATACACTGACAGATGACTGATTAAGTCCACTGCGACTTTGCAGCGACAATAAAAGCATTCTGTTCTATTCTACATTCACATATTAGGATTTCTGCGACAGACGCTGGTTGGTTTTATTCATGGAGCAGCTGCAGCCTGAAATAACCTGCACAAGCACATAAAGCTGGACTCATTTTCGTCTCTACAGCAGTTCAAGTTTTTCATTTCCATCTTGTTTTACCTCCAGCTGCTCGTGTTGATTTGTTTTGACTGTTAAATGCTCCAATTATTCTCCCTGTTTCCATCAGAATTCTTACCCAAGTTTCCTACTCGTGTGTCTACATCTGTTCCTGGGTTCAGATGAATCAGGTTTCACTCATTAAAGTCAGACGGTCTGAGCGCTACCTTGCGTATTCCCTCCGACGGGCTGGAAACCGAGTAGTCCATGCCGTTGTTCTTGCTGATGGTCCTCCACAGCTCGGCGTAGGTGCTGTCCTGCTCCAGAGGGTTGGTGCCTTTGTTCCTGAAGTAGTCGTAGACGGCCGAGTCCCTCACGGTGCCGTAGTCCACGTCGATCTGTCGAGCCAGGTCCTGGAAAGACCTGCAGCACAGAAACACGGGTTACTAATCCGGTTTTCTGTCTCGCTCACCACCAGAAGCTCAGCGTAATAAAGATTCACCGAAAACCTTCTGAACCGTCTGCAGGACCGCCGAGTGTCGGCCGTGTTCTGGTTCAGGACTCGGTTCAGGACTCGGATCAGGACTCAGCTTTGGCTTGCCGACCACTTTTGGACCATTTGAAGTTTATTTGTCTCGTAACACAAAAACAAACTGAAACCTCTGATGCATTAAAACACAGAGTCCCGTTCCTCCTCCTCAGTGGAACCATTTAACTTGTAACTAATTAATTAAATAAGCTGATTCTGAAGTTCGTTAACTGGACTAAAGTCATAAATCCAACCAAACTGTGCACAATGTTCCACATCAGACATCTGACAAACATCTACACCGACTTCATGACGGGTTTAATGACTTTCCTCAAAGTCAGGAGTTACCACTCACTCTCATCACTTTGCCTTCAGACTGTTTGGTTTGTGTAAATGTTTAAGAGCTTTCATGTCACAATGATCCTGTTTTAAAGGCATAAAGCATTTAACGTCGTTAGTCTAAGATAGAGTCCGTCTCACAGACTCAGCACGTAAACGAACCGATTTTGGTGAATGAACTAAAAGGTTTTCTGCTTGTTGTGGACATTGTGTGACTCTGAACTGATCCTCTAAAATGAAGACATTATTATTTCTCACCTTAATTGTTTAAAAAAAGAAAAAAGAAATCCAGAAGCTGTTTCTGTAATACAGGATCGAGCTTGTAAAGAAGCAGCTGATGTGAAATCTGGACATTTAGTCAAACCTTTGCTGAAGTGACTTTAAATCTGGATGCATCAGACCTCCCTCAGACTGCCACAGTCCAAAAATAAATCCTTCATTGATTGGAAATAATTCACTGTGTGAAAGCTAACTAGAGCTAACTAGAGCTAACTAGAGCTATGTAGAGCTAACTAGAGCTAACTAGAGCTAATTCACTGTGTTTCGTTTGTTTCGTAAAAAACAAACTGGACAAAAACATGGAAGCATCAGAAACACTGTTGTTGGTGATCTGTGCCCCAAAACAAACCGGTTCTGTTCAGAATTTTATGTGGAAGTCCAACCCACGACCACTGCATCGGGGAACTGGAGCTATTTAGCGCTAACTATAGCTAATTAGAGCTAGCTAGAGCTAACTATGGCTAACTAGAGATAACTAGAGCTATTCAAAGCTAACTAGGGCTAATTAGAGCTAAGTAGAGATAACTATAGCTAACTACAGCTAACTATAGCTAATAAGAGCTAACTAGAGATAACTACAGCTAACTATAGCTAATAAGAGCTAAGTAGAGTTAGAGCTAACTATAGCTAATTAGAGCTAACTAGAGCTATTTAGAGAAAACTATAGCTAACTAAAGCTATTAAGACCTAACTATAGCTAATTAGAGCTAACTACAGCTAACTAGAGCTAATTAGAGCTAACTAGAGATAACTATAGGTAACTACAGCTAACTAGAGCTAATTAGATCTAACTAGAGTTTGAGCTAACTATAGATAACTGGAGCTAACTAGAGCTGTTTAGAGCTAACTAGAGCTATTTAGACCTAACTAGAGCTAACTACAGCTAACTTGAGCTAACTAGAGCTATGTAGAGCTAACTAGAGATAACAATAGCTATCTAGAGCTAACTAGAGCTATCTGTAGCCCTGTTGATGGGTCACCTGCTCAGCCAGGTGAGCTTTGGGACGCCCCATATGTGATATTTTAATATTTTTTGTGTGTTTTTTAAATCGACTCCTGAGCGTTAACATGATGTTGGATCAGCGACTGGATTATGTTTGACTGGAGGTTTATTCTCTCCTGGGATAAATCATAATGAACTCGGCCCGTCGCTCTCTCTGGTTCCGTCTCGGCTCTGTTTGTCACTTTGGGTTGTTCTGCTCGGCAGAAGCTCGACGTGCAGTTTTCAGCCCGGCGGTTATTTCGGCCACTTCAGATCAAATGACAGCGTTTCAAATGAACTGAGCGAAAACAGGAAACGCTGGAGTTGGAAACGAAGAAAGAGAAGAGCTGAGGTGAAGTGGCTGTTGTTGGAAAATTGCATCCAAGTCGAGTTGTTGAGCGAGAGTCTGTTTTCGAACTGGTCTGGACGACAGTCGGAGGCTTTCCGGCCGGCCGCTTTCTGTCGTGCTGCTGCTGTTTGAGAGCTTTCCTTTAATCTGCTCGGCCTTCGCAGCTAAAAGCACATTTTTAAAACCCATTACTTTGGGTGGAACTCCGACTCGGGAGCTGCTTTCAGCCCGTTAATGGAGGTGAATGTGTTGTTATTTACTGAACGGAGATAATGAAGAGCAACTCCTGCTTCTGATCGACTCTCAGACGTTTTTATTCATCTCTCCTCAAAGGTCAGCGGCTGCTTCATGCTCATTTAAATAACGTCCACTGATTTGTTCATAACTCGACGTGCCTCCTGATTAAACCATCAGCCTGAAGACGACGTCATAACTTCACTAAACATAACTGATTATCTGGTGATCTGCTGTTTACTGCTAGTGCTGGTTCATGTTCTGTGTAACGTTCAGGTTCCGTTAAAACACCTGAATGAGTTTGTTTTTGACGTTAACGTTGATCAACAGGGTTTTAATTTCCACTAAGAAGCACTTTAATGGTGAAGCTGGTTGTGAGGAATTCGTCTTAAATGCGGTGAAATAAAGAACCAGGTAGCTTCTTCAGTTCTTCTGTTTTGGTTTGTTGAACCAAAACTCTTCTACAGAACCAGAAAGAGAAGAAGTTTGTGTTTGGAAGTTAAAATGTGGAACGAGGTGACCGAGCAGCGGACCGGGGGAAGGTCTGGTTCTGCTCAGACTGGGACGATCTGGAGGTTAACTGGGACTTAAGCAGCTTCGTCTGCTGCGTGTTCGTTCTGTGTTTGCCGTCGACTGAACCTGAGATCAGTTTAAATGAAAACGTTCCGTCCTGGATGGTCAGAGTGACCCGGCGCTGGTGGATCCGATGTCAGTGTTTCCTCACAGCTTCAGAACTTTACTTTAAATTCTGAATAAAGATCAGAAACACGTCAGCTGCAGTTCAGCGATATCAAAAAAACTCAAGAAATAAAAATTTAACCCGCTTAAAGTTTCTTAAAACAACAAGTTTGACGTCCAGAGTTCCAGGTTTGTTTTTCTAACGGATGCACTGTCAAAAAATGTTAAAAATGAAGAATAAAATAACTGAAAATTGACATTAGACAATAAAGGAATATTTTAACATTAAAAAACTTTGCAAACTGAAAATAAGAGCAAATATCTACAAAAGAAGAATATTTTACAGGATATATTTTTTTTTTTTTTAAAAGTGCAACTCTGAGATAAAACGCTGTAAAAACAAAAAACAACTATTTATAAAAATACAGTTTTTTTTTTTATGTGGACATTATTTGCAGTTCTGACCCGTTTTTCTTTGAACATAAACCTTTAAATTAGTACGTTTAAAATCATTTTACAAGATCTTATTTATTTAACAAAACAGGAAAAATCTGTAAAATAGAAAACAACCGTTGTTTAATCCTTAATATATCGATTTTTCTTTTAACTAACAGCAGTGATCTGTAAAACAATGCTCCCTGATTTAAATGAGAGTTTATTTATTAACAGAACATTATTGATCGTTT